CTACTTGCCCATTAGACTTAGTGACTCATTTGGTGGGGGTTGATTTAATGCCTAGTTCATTAATCCAAAAATGTATTGTGTGTGTTAGACGATAAATAACTTACTGCGTGCTTTTAAGCTGTTTGTATCTTGCTTGAAGAATTTCTTTGGTAAAAGTTCTCTGAAGAGAGTGACTCCCCGAGGGGGAGGGTTACGTAAGTAATCCAGAATAACAGACAAGAATAATATGATTAGTCATGTTGAAAAGCATTTATGCTTTGAAGCACAGGTGCACAGTTTAGATGGGTTAGGGGATTTCAGAACATAGTGGACTATTTTTCAGCAGATGAAAAGTTCAGAAAAGATTCACATAGCTACAGCATCAAATAAATTATAACTGAATCTGGGTACAGAATCTGATCTCTGTAATGAGCCAAGAAACCTGGGAGACAAAACCAGAAGTGTTGGGAAAGCCAATGCTGGGAGAAGGCATTCTAAATACTTACAATCCCATGATGAGGAAATTAGATAAATGCTTCCCAGGAAGCACATACCTGAGAAAATAATGAAGCAAACGGATCTGGGAAAACTCTTGATCTAAATGACAAGTAGATTAGTGAAACAGATTCTAAATTTTGAATTCTGGCTTGTTGAAAAAGGACAGAATGCTGGAGGGAACTCAGAAGAAACACAAATGAATATCTTTTAAAATTACTCTTCTGATTTAAATGCTTTAAGTAATTGCTGCTTGATTGTGCTTGAAGAAACACACGCACTATATATCTATAATATAAAAGCCCAAAAGAAACTGGCCCTTGAGTTAGAGCAGACATTACCTTGCTGGAATAACTTGCAATAAATTGCAGGGAGCTGCACATTAAATGTGTTTCTTAACGCCAGTGAGGTAGCTGGAGGACTAGAGGAGCTGAGCAAGAATGGCCTTTACCACTGGTGCCTCAGACCTTCTACCTTTCTCATATGCCTGGCATTCTCCTCACAGATTTTTTTTTAATTGTGCTTGCCTAGATGATAAATTCCAAGGATGATAAGACAATGTTGGAAATAGAGCAAGAACTGTTATTTTTAGGAAGATAACAAGATTCAAAGCTCTGATCATTCCAGCAAGGATGCTGGGAGTAAGGGGTAACTCACAAAGGTTAACTTTAATCATAGAATCATTCAGGTTGGAAAAAACCTTTAAGATCAGCGAGTCCATCCATAAAACTAATGCTGCCAAGTCCACCACTAAACAAAGCCCTAAATGTCCCGACTACATTTCTTAAATACCTCCAGGGATGGTGACTCAGCCACTTCTCTGGGCAGCCTGTTCCAATGCTTGACAATCTTCTTGGTGAAGAATTTTTTCCTAATATCCAATCTAAAGCTCCCCTGGCACAGCTTGAGTCTGTTTCCTCTTACCCTATCGCTTGTTACTTGGGAGAAGGGACTGACACTCGCCTCAATACAACCTTCTTTCAGGCAGTTGTAGACAGTGATAAGATAGGCTAAACAACCCTAGTTCCCACAGCCACTCCTCATAGGACTTGCTCTCTGGACCCTTCACCAGCTTCATTGGACTTCTTTGGAACTACTCCAGCACCTCAATGGTTTTATCATAGTGAGGCGCCCAGAACTGAACACAGTATTCAAGATGTAGCCTCACCAGTGCTGAGTATAGAGGAATGATCACTGCCCTGGCCCAGTGCTGTTACAAGCCAGGATGCTGTTGGCCACCTTAGCTGCCTGGGCACAAGCTGTCTTATGTTCAGCACCTGTTCACCAACAGCCTCAGGTCCTTTTCTGCTGGGCAGCTTTTCCAGCCACTCTTCCTCAAGCCTGGAGCATTCCATGGGGTTGTTGTAGCCCAAGTGCAGGACCCTGCACTTGGCCTTGTTGAAGCTTGTACAATTGGCACTGGCCCATTGATTCAGCCTGTCCAGATCCCTCTGAAGAGCCTTTCTACCCTCAAGCAGATCAACACTCCTACTAAAACTAATCATCTTAGTATGTCAGTAGAGTGAGACAAACTCCCCTAGGAACAATTCAGATAATTAACCATAATTTAACCACCCTGAATCATCTTCTGGATGATCCTTTCTTTCTCCATTCTTGATAGTTTATAAGGCAATTTAGGGTGGCTAGCTTCACTCAGCTGCAGGGAATATGCTTTCTTCTTTCAGTGTTTCAAAAAATGAAGTGTTTACTTTAATAACTTAGCTGACTAGATTTATGCTTTGAGTAGAAGACAAGTATCTTGGTCAGCATCACACAGAAGTTCAGAGGCATGTGATAAGTAAAACTCATAGTATTACTCAATAAGTAATACTACATTGATATGGATTAGGATAAAGGATGATTTCTAATTTAGAGCTAGGAATAAAAATCTGTGAACTTCATTCACAGACATGTGAGTTCATGATCACAAAAAATGTAGAAAGAAAGTAATAAAGACTTCCCTTTTTTTCTTTTTTTTTTCTTTCAACTATGCTAGTTTACATAACGGATGATATTATCTCTATGTTCAAATCTGTTTCTACACCTCCAGAAGCCGTGGAGGATTTCCCAATGGCTTAATAGAAAGAAACATCAAGTATGAACTAAGGAATTCATTGCACCAAAGAAGAAATGGGTTTTATGTCAAATTCAGGGGTTGCAACTGTTTAAACGGATGGCTAAAATTAAGAAATTATCATATCTGTAGCCTTCAATACATTTTTATCACTTATTTAGCATAAGTGCAAATGGTGCTTCTTGTTGCATCTACAACTTGAGCACCAAAAGCCACCAAAGCAATGGTACTCAATTATTTTCAGGATGTTAAGTCTGGTTTTTCTCAGATTTTTCAAGTTCCTGGATTCTGACCTACTCAAGTCAGAAATCCTATTCCAGAGTTAGCGGCTTTGACCTTTACACACCTCTTTATGAAAATCTTTATGTTATAAGATCATGTTTGCCATTGCCTGAATGAGAAGTGAGACTTTTGAATTCAATTTCAGACAGCAGGCCTGCTGGTCAGAGATAAGTATCTTGTTCTGCCAGACTGCACAATGCTTCAAACCAATTTCTTGTCCATTTCTGAAAGATTCCCCTCAACTGAAACATAAAAATAACAGTAAATACTTTTCTAAGCTACAGATTTTCTCAGTGAACATTGTATCATTACAGTTAGCTACTACTGATTGGTGGGAATCAAATACTGACTGGACTAAACCTGAAATTCTGAGACTGTAGAACTGTTTTATTTATTATGCTTCTGAACAACATAATCTAATATCATATCAGGTGAGAGAAATATTTACCTTTGTCGGTATCTGTACCTATACAAATACCCAAACAACTGTTTAACATCTGCTTCTTGCAACTCATGGCAATAGGGAGTGTTTGCCCAAGAAGTACAGGCCTTCAAAATAACAGGATGTTAATATTTAAAATTAGAGGGATATATACTGGTCTGGTTTATACTAACTTTACAGAATTGTATTCATATTAACTTCAGTGCAGGTACTTCCCTTTTTATCGTTTTAAGCGAGTTTGGAATCAAACCACAAGCCTTTAATGAAGTTTTAATGATCCACTTGGGGGAGCTAAAGGGTAATTTGTTTCCAAACTGATTATGGCAAAATGTTTGGGACGCAAAATTTAAGTTACAGAAGACAATGTAAGCAGAGTCATCCACTTCCTAGAACTCAGTGCTGGTTGTTAATCTATATTATCTTCTGGAGCAAAGGGTCCCCAATTGTTATTAAAATTACAGCTGCATATAGAAAAAAGAATCACAGTTATAAACAGCTTAGCAGCAGACACCCATAATAGCATCAGTCATATCCTGACTTCGATTATACACCTACAACATACATTGAATGCAACAGCCATAACATGTTAGGCAGAGTTTGGTCCTTATTCTTACTCTTACTCTACATTTTTGTGCTAGTTAACATTAACTAGCACATTAATTAATGTGACAACAGGAAAAAAAAATCTAACATGCAACAGTTTTGTCTTTCAGTTAATATCAAACAGCTCTCTTTTATTTTCTTTCTTTTCTTTAGATGCTGGTTTTGGGCTATATCCGCTTGTGGCTCATGCACCAGTTACTATGTTGAAACATGGCTTTGCAGCTGCTTTGTCTTATGCTTGACTGCCTATGGTTATTGGTAGTTCTTTGACTGTTCTGAGTTATGCACTAATTAGAGGCAGAGAGAGATGCAGTATCTTCCATATTGGAAGGAAGAGCACAGCCTTTTGTCTTTGAAGAGCCACTAAAATACGATCTTGGGCTTTTTTTCCATGCAGAGATTGCTCTAAAGTTCAGATAAACTGACAATACAGTTGCTTCCAAAAGCCACAGTGAATCCAAAGCTATAGTCATGTCTTTTATAAAAGGAATAAAACTCAGTTTCAGTCACATAACTTACATGAAAAGTCCATTGGCAAAGCTGTACTGTCAAGGTCTCCACTGCATAAGCTTCATCTCACTCCAATTACTCTGCAGTGCAGTCCAAACTAAAGTTCATGGTTGCCCGTATGTGGGCATCTAATTTAACTGACTCACGTAAATAAAGTTTCAAGAAAAAGTGATAATTAAGTAAAATATTTTTTACTTTAGCATAACTTACTCGCTATGTTTAAGGTTTCCTTATTTTATGTTTAATTTAGCCAGAGCATGTGGAAAAATTAAACTCTTAAGTATCTTTACAGGAAGCACTGTTGCTAGGCACTCTAAAAGCAAAGGCTTATGCTTTGTAGCTATAAAATACCAAAATATATTTTTAAATGTCATTCAGCATCCTGAAGGCAGACACAATCATGCTGATTGAATACCATGCGAAAGACAATGGCAAAGCAAATGGAAGCAAAGGGTACAGTCAATTCAGGTATGGGCATGAAAGCTATAATCATTAACAGTACTTGACGACAGTATTTGTAGTGCAATTTGCTTTTGTGCTTTCTCTTTGATAAGTAAGACAAGTATTATAAAGTATTTAGGAGGAACTATTACTGCTATAAATTGATCAACTTACATTAATTAATTCAATATCCCAGATTTTTTTCACAAGGTCCATCGAAGTATAGCCATTAATTAGAAAGGATTTGGTATAGTCACCCAGTTCAATGGAATCCAGCCATTCAGCTACAGAGGCGGGGGTGTAGCCATCATGACCAATCTGCTTCATCTGAAAACCAAGAATGAGTAAGAATTACTAATGATATTCATTAAATATCTTTCAGAACAGCAATTATGTGTATTAATTTCTTCACAGAGTTACCTTATCCTTGAATCAGCATTCTTTTAATATTTAGTAAACGTGAAACAATTTTGTGAGCAAAAGCACTAAGAAAAGCTTCGTTTTCAGTATATCTTTATGTTATGATGGCTTGCCTTTTAAACTATACTAAGACTGGAGCTGGAGTTCAGTTCTTACTAGGTATCATAGAATCCTCAAGTGAGAGAAGGCAAAAAGGTGAAAGAGATATTATTAATACACTGACTTCACAAAAATGTCAGATTTACACCTAAGATTTCATACAAGGGGAAAAAATTAGTCTGAGGAATGGATCTTTTGGTATTACACTGCAAATGAAACATATTGCTTTGGTAATATTATTGCTAATTGATCTCTTCTACTAGGTTATATAATATTTTATAATGGTTGAAGCCACATTGTATTTTTTCACCTCAGGGGAGGTTTAAAAAAGTCTCTTTCCTCTACCTGGTCAATTTTTCATGGAACTTCTGGGAATTTAACATATTTTAGATAGCGCTCTCTGTCTATAAAGTTGCTTGAGTTTGGACAATCAAACCAAGTATTATTGGAATGGAACTGACAGAATGGCACACACAGAAGCACGCCACTTGCATTTATATAGCAACACAGTCACAAAAAGCATAATCATATAAATCTTGTTTTCATAACAAAATAAGAAATACCACTGGCCTCTTATTTTCCTGAAGATTATTGTTAAGCTACTAAGAAGTAAAGAGCTGCATTTCTTCTTTCACAATTGTTTCTCAATGACATAAGCCAAGATTTGCAAGCTAGCCATTAAAGACAAAAATGTACAAAGCCTCCACCTGTGCAGCTTGTTATGTCATATTGTTTTTATCAATTTTAAAGTAATTTGTCAGAGGTAGAATAAAGTGGAAAGAACATGTGCAATAGCCTCAATTTTCAACAGTATTATATGCATATCATCTTTCTATAGAAGTGTAACTATTGCTAACTTGATGATACACTGAAATGGTAAACTGTTAAGAAGCTTTAGAGCTTTAGAAACCTTGTGTTTCGCATAGGTTCTCCTGACTATGCAAGGGTGACACTGCATGGTGAAAGACAGTCTCCTATTTCTGCCTGCTTATGTGCATTTCTACTTTCTAAGAAACAAGGGAAGTGTGACAGAAACATAATGCTTTGAGCTTAAGTTTGAAGTGAGTGACAAAGTAATTTAAAAAAGAGAGAACTCTGGTCTTAATATCTTGCCTGTACCAATTTATTTTCCACAGTTTATTTGAAATACAATTTGAATTCAAAGCAGAGGAAAAATTACTGTCTGCATCTGAAAGCCACAGTAGTGTTCATCGATCTGTCTGTTCAAATGCAGAAAGCCAACACGTCATGATCTTGATCTTAGTTTCCTACCGTTTCAGAGAAGAGTGGTGCAGGCAGACTGCATCATAGACATATTTACTCTTTGGTCTTTGCTACAGATGTTGGATATAAAATATTAATGGAAGTATTTAAATGATGTAGTGAAATCATTATCTTAAATCATAAAAAAGAGACAAGAAATCACATAAATTAACAATGGGAATCAGCCTTCCAGGGCACTTCTGTAACATGGGAGTCATTAGAAAGTGCGAGTTCAGTTTTGTTGTTGAACTTGACATTTTGGAATTTAGTTTCACCCTAATTTATAATTAACTTCTTAGATGTCAAAAGCATGACAAATTCTTCTTTCATTGTCATTTAGACTTACTTCAAATCTTTGATGATCTAGCAGACTTGAAAAACATTGGAGGACCCTGAGAACTCTGCCTCCTGGGAAGCTTATTTCAAGATTTGAAACAAGGTATGCTTAAAAACTGACACTTAAGGAAGAAAAATCTAATACAGAGAAGACATGAAGGAGTTGTACAGGGAGCACATGACTTTGGAAACATATAAGGTATTTTTGTTTCCTTTCTCTAACAAAAAAAAGTGAAGCACCTTTGAAACAATTTTCAACATATCCAGATGGGGCATGTTATGCAAATTAATTCTTTTTTTATTACTATTTGATCTTTATGTTTAATACATTTTGACTTTAACAAGTTGGGTTTTTTCTGGTTTTGTTTTGTTTTGGTTTTTTTTTTGGACGTGCTTATTGAGAAACCTCATGCAGTCTGGTCTGTAATTCTGGTAACCCATCAGCCGCTATGAAAAGCAAACACAGCATGGGAAGTTTCTTGAATACTCAATTCCCACTGGTGATCTCTATCAAAAGGGTTGTTAAAATAGATATCACTCTACTACGGTGTGTTGCAAAAGGCTGCAGGCAAGCAAACACAGGTGAACAATCCAATAAGCAAGAGGCTGAGAACAACTGAAATGTACATGACAATTTAATTCTCTCGATTTGGTGTCAATAGACAAAATAATCACTCGGTCACTCAACAGCCTACATGAAAATGCACTGGGAAGCAGCAGGCTCTGCAAGCATTTTCTGTTTCCTTGTCCTGGAGATTTGTCTGTCTGGGTTCAAGGCCACATTCAGGATAGCGCCGCTGCATAGCCTTGGATCAAACCCATGTGAGAAAGAGCAGTGAGAAGCCTGGTTGGAGCCAGCCCACCTTCTCCAGGAGCTACATCTGAGCTCTGGCCCACATCCCTGACATTCACCCAAGCTATGCCATAGGTACATCTGTGCCTCGCCATGCACCTTGCTGATCCTCACCCATTGACTCGCCCTCCTGAATCAACCTTGTCCCATCCTCATCCCTATGGATTTGCCCTGGGATGCGGCTGTTCATGGTTGCTGCCACCATCCCTGCCCCTGTGCCAGTGCTCCCTTCTGGCCCCACTGTCCCCTCTCTACTCCCAGTGCACCTGCCCTGGCAGGACAGGCCCCTCCTGCTGCTCCTATTGCAGAAAGTAAACCTCAGAACTAGAGTATTTGCCAGCAGTTTCAGCACATAAGCAGTATTTTATTTTGTCATGAACCAAGAACCACTTTCTTATAGAAGACAGATTTTCTAAAATGTGTCTAATACGTGAAAATCAATAAACTTTCAGTATCTGTCCTCCTGTATGGAAAGTTCTGTTCTGTCTCTTAATAACAACCACCAGCTTGTTAACTGTCATTCATAGCTGGCTGAATGTTTGCCTTTCAAATATTTATTGACAGAGAGATCAGTTATCTAGGTGTGACAGTATCATTAATAGCATCTGCTTTTCTTATAAAATGTTATGTAGCTTTTTTTTTTTAAAAAAAAGCCACTTGGAAGTATCTGTCTGGAAGTGCTGTCCCCTTTCTTTATTAGAGATCCAGTTTAGCTGCATCTTATCCCAGTACTCATTAACAGGTCATGGCTGTTGGACTGTTTGTATTTTTTTTCTATACTGCAGTATGATGTTAGACTCCTCTCACAGATTATACACTCACACTGTATGCTTCCTTGCTGAGGCTGTTTCCTGACTGAATTCTTTTTTTGAAAGAAGAAACTCCTCCTGTCTACTGACTGTAATTCCATGTATACTATTTCAATCATTCCACACCAGCTACAGCACATGCACCAGTGGTGTCAAACATCTAAGCAGTTATGTGCATACTGTTTGACTCAGAGCAATATAAAACCTCTAAGTTTCAAGCCATGACAGCCTTTTAAATGTTAACTGCTCATAAATAGGGGCAGTATTGTTCTTCTGCAGACAGTGCTACTAGTTCATTCAGTTGTTATTTTTAAAGAATGGTATCAGTGTAAGCTGTATCACTGCAGATGATTTTAGCATGTGGACTGTGGAAAAGGCTAGAAATAAAGCCCATAGGATTTAGAGTAAAAGAAATATTTAAAAAAATATCACATAAACAAAGCATGGAAGAAGACGCAAACCATAGATTTCTCTCCTATGTCCTATTGATCTACCACTGGTATTGCTTCCTTTGAAATTAACAGAAAGCAGAAGCCAGAAAGAGCTGTTTCTCATAATAAAATAGTAATGTCAAGTAGCATCCTAATGGGTTGAGAAATCCTTTACAAGCAACTGGGTGTACATCAGACTTTTTACAGGTGCGTCACTGCTATATCTATACAGTATTCATCATTAGGATAGAAGGTACCTGAGTTTTTGTCTCTGAAGGGTAGCCAAATAAACACAGAGCTTCAAAGTAATCAGATATGCACCAGAAGCATCAAGGTGAATTCAGTAACATAGACTATTACCAGTTTCCTCTGATCTTAAACAGATGGAGAACTAATGCTATTTTCTCCACGGGTAATATCACTATCTCATGGATCTCAGCGCTGTGTGTATTAAAATCAAGCTTTTTATCTGCTATATAAGGAGGAAGAGATGACTTGACTTTCACAGATTTTTAAATGATAGCTATGATTATAGTGAATTTACACTTGTGTTGGTTTGCAAGAAAGATCTTTTTAGCTAGCATATAATGCTTTCTTTTAAACTGCTGGCCTATCCGACAGATTTAAGCGTCACTTTTGGGATCTTTTATGAAACTATAAATCAACCACAAATCTAAGTAATTCTACCTGATTGCAATGGAGGTGGTATCAGTTCTTTTTCCCCCTGTTTTCGTGAGATTTCTATTATGTATTATGTACTTTACAAACACAATCAGTTGAACTCATGTTGTTGGAAGAGGAGATCATTTATCCTCTGGAGGGGTGAAAGAGAAGGCTTGGGAGAGTGATATTTCTAATGACCAGAGGGCCTGGATGGCACAGGGCTACCACATGGAGCTGGCTCCTGTCCAGAAATTGAGCCTGCAGTCAGGAGCAGAGAGGCAGCTTTCAATGGGGACGTGCATAACTCCCTAAGGAGCTGAGAAGACTTTGCATTTGCAGCTGTTGAGAAAGGCACTGAGTGAAAACAGGGACCTGCCTGCAAAGATACAGTGGGTGAGGAAGAGCTGCACATAAACCTTTTGGTTTTCTATTCTGTCTACCTTGTCACATTTA